CGATATTTATTTAGTTGAAAAACTTTTATTGAAAACTTTGAATGTGGATGTGGATTGGGATTTACTTCTTCTCATGAATGACACCCATACTTCACATTCTGACCCACATCCATATCTTTTCTTTGTCAAACTAAGTCCAAAAAAAGTATCATTACATAAAGAAAAAAGAAAGATGGAAAATAAATAAAACTAGTCTGTTTCTAACGGTACATCATATAAATTATGGTTATCAATGACTTTTTTATGTTACAATTGATCTGACTGTTGTAGTGAACATTGATTGAAAAATTAAAAAAAATTATCAAAGATCAACAATTAGAGTTTGATAACTATAACAATATTTGTTAGTTTGTTATCCATTATCATGATAGATAAAATAGTAAACAATAGGAAATTGATATAAGAAGATATATCAGAGATTTCATATAAGTTACATCGATCACCGTAGTGAAGTACTCGATAATAATTTTCAATTGAATTGAAATATAATTATAATTTTTCAATCAAATCTTTCTGAAATGGAATCGGTATCTTATTTACTTTCCTTTTTTTTTGTATGAGAAAACCTTATGTAGTAAATTTGTTTTTGAATGTTCTTACTTCAAATGTTAATTCCGCATGTATTGTGCTGATAAATATTTAAACACAATTAAACTGGAAAATTCTTTCATGATACAAATAAAAGTTTGAAATTACTCTTGGAATAGAGCTAATTGTGACTTATTATCGACTAGATCTATTATATTATTTTTTTTATTATCCATAATTTTTCTTGCTTAATGAAAAATAGTATTAAAAAGAAAAGAAAAAAAAAACTTTAAATCTAAATACATATTTGGAAAGAAAAAAATAAATAAATATAAAGCATTTAATTTCTAGAAATAAGCATGCATACAAAAACCAATATAACTTGTTATGAACCACACATCAGATACATAACTGAATAAAAAAAAAAAAAGAACTATAGTATATACAGAAACTTATTGAACAATTATCTCATAGAGACTGTTCATAAAGTTTAGAAAATGAGAAGAAACGAATAAAATTATATATTTAACATGGTTTGTCAATATCATCATCATTATTTAATCTATCTTCATCAAATGATAGAAAAAGTGATTCTTCATCATTTATCATTGATGAATCCCAATCTTCAGGATTTTCATCATCAATTAAGAAATCAATGGATTCATCTAGATATAAAATAAACAATTTTATATAATAATTTAACAAAAAAAAAAAAAAATCAATTTTTAAATGTCATACTTTTTGCTTCTGAATTTATACTATTCAAATTCATATGTACTAAAACAAAAATAAAATTTAATATATATGACTATTATTTTAAAAATAATAAATTATACTTAATGAAATTGTTGTTTCATAATTATTTGTTGATTTCTAAAAATAAAATACAAGAAGAAACAAAAAAAAATCATAAAACTTAATCTAATTAAAATTTTATCTTACAGATAGTTTTGTTCGTTTTCTAATCGATGTTGAATTTTGTTGAATAATTTGATTATCTTCTGTTGAAATCTCAGATTTGATTGTTTTACTAAGCATTATAGTTCGAGTTATATCTTTTGCATGTTGCAAATCAACTTTATGATAATTTCGTAAATGTCGATAAAGATTTACTGGACAAGGACGATCACAGGGAATATTTTTAACAAATCTTATAAATTTTTTTAATAAATTTGAATTTGTATTATTCAATGTTGTTGAATAAGGACATAAACATTTATATGGTACAATATCAATTTCATCGGCTACTGTTGTATTTGTCGTTGTAGATTGTTTATTATTATTAAGAATAAGATCATTTATTGCTGTTGTTTCTGTACTAGTTCGAATAGAACGAATTAGACGAAGTGCAAGTTCACCACTCATTTGATGATAATGTCTGTAGTAAAGAGATGTTGATTAAGTATATTAGAATATATATTTTTTGTTTTGAATGAAAATATACCGATAGATATTACTGTAATTTATTCTTACTCAATAGTTTCTAAAGATCATTCTTAACTGGACTCTAATTTCTGTTTCATGAGGCTCGAGTATACAATATATATCAAACAGCTATTTTTTTTAATATATATATTAGAAGCCTTTTAGTTGATATTCTTGAACGAGATCGTATTTTGAATCTACGATTTTAGCTGAGGAGAAAAGAAAAATGAATATGTGTTTAAATGGAAAACAACTCATTCAGTTGAGACGTTGAAATTTCTAACCGAATTCAAATTTAATGTATTAATCATCAAAAAAAACCTTAATTCTATGACTAATTGGTACAGTTCGTAGTATTCAGCTAAATATCGTTTTGCGAGAGTACTTCATAAAAATTACAGAATATATTTGAACAATCATCTACATAAAACTGTGGATCAGAAAAGTGAGAAATGAGTTTCCATGTAAAAAAAAAGTATCGTTCAAACTTTCGATAATACATTAAAAATTGTGTTGGACAGATGTACAATATTATTATGAATGATATATTCGAATCTTTTGAAAGAGTAAGAATGTTTGTATTACATTCGATACGTTATTTTATCAAATGAATAGCTACATATTAAAGAAGAATAATAAGAAAAAGTATTTTAAAACTATAATAATATAATTTTTCTTCATTAAAAAGCGAAAGTTATGTCATCTACTTTTAATAATGTCATGAACATAAAGATTCTTTATATTAAAAATTTTTTCTAATGTTATACATCGATAATTATCTTGATCGGCTTTACTTAAAGAATGAGAAGTTGTATCAGTTCACATAAGCAAAAAGTGACTTTCTCATTCTTTCATCAAAATCATAATCTTTTTTTGTCATGAATAATAAATCTTGTCTTGAGGCAAATTAAAGAATAACATTAATGTAACAAAAATTGATAACCTACTGAAGATGAGCAAAAAGAATAAATTTTTCATTAGTTTTATTACAAGGCACATTAAGTAATGTTTGATCTTGAATATCTTCATTTATTATTGATGTTATATTTGTTAATGGACAATAATGTCGAAATCTTCGATCATCATTATAAATATTTCTAAAAAAAAATATATATATATCTTTAGATATTTTTTTTTCTCTCTCTCTCTCTTTTTTTAATATACATACGGATTTGTATTTAAAACAGCATCATCTTTTTGAAATAAAATAATTTCTCTAATATCATTTTCAATTGATGATTTTTGTCTACTTTCAATTGATGATGACATCATTGTTTTAACAATTTTTTTAGCTGATTTTATATTTAAATTATGTGACACACGTAAATGTGATAAAAGTAAACATTGTTTTATATGTCGACAATTATAATTTTTAATATGATGATTTAATAATGTTAAATTAAAAACATTATTAAAACCATATGAAAATGGACATCGACCTTTATGCCAATGAACTGAATGTGAAAATAATTCTTGTGTATTATTAAATATTAAATCATATTTATTATTTGTTTGTTTATCATCTAGATGATTATTCATACGATCAAGAACAATTTTATTTGCTAAAGAAAATTATAGAATAATATTATTATTGAAAATAATAACAAAAAAATATTTTATACCAGCTGTATTTGATAAATTATGTTTATACATTAGATGTTTTTTAAGAGATAATTGTTCGGATGTATCCGAACATGGAAAATGTGGCATATTAAAACTAAATAAAAGAAAAGTAGACAAAATGATGAAGAATTTATTTGAAATTTATAATTATTTTACTTTTTTTTAATACCATATATTCCATAATAAGTTAATGGGCATATACCCTCGAAACTATGAATGATTTTTTCGTTCATAGACATCAAAAATGAGCAAATAAATAAATATGTCAAATGTTAAAAATTTCCTTGTCAGAAAACCAATTGAATGATGAAGGCTAATAAGAAATTTTCATTGGTTAAACATGTTGACGAATAAAAAAACAAAAAGATAAAAGAGTGATTAAAAGAACTTACTCAAATTTTGAAAGAAGTTATGCAAGAATCTTTTATTAAAATATATTTAAAATACAGGTGACGTTTGATTTTCGTTTTCAATCAAGCAGATTTTGGTATTTCTATTTTTGAAAATTAAGGTTAGGCTATATGATAGTTGAAAAAAATCGAAATGCAAACCAAACAGGATTGTGAATGAAGAGTGTGCGAAGTCGAGGCAATTCTCTTCTGATCCTAATTTTTGTAAAATTCGGTTTGTTGACTTCCATGGTTTTCAAATTTTCTTCCTTGTTGTTGGTTTCTATGGGTTACCTTTTCGTCAAAAGATTCTTAACCCCTCTTCTTTATCTGCACTATTTTAGGATGTCTATTCTGAATTTTTATAGGGAAATTTTTTTTCTGTATTCTATCTTTTAAAAAACGATATGTGTAATATCTACGGATGCATTCTGATTTTTTTTAAATAGGAAATAATTGCAATTTTAATAATATCGTAATATTCAAAACTATTCTAAAGAAAGATAGAAAATCACTTGTGACTGCCATATCCCGGTAAATTTCTAGTTTTTGGATATCATCGTTTGGCTCTAAATAGATTTCAGTGAACCTAAGAATTTAATGGTTTTAATAGATCCAAACAGTATAACTAGCAGATAAAACCCGAAAGTTTAATATCTTTATTCATCGACAATACTGAAGAATTCCAGAATCAGTCTATAGATATCTATTCGAATAGCATGTGCATTGAATGAATTTCGTAAAGAGAAATACATCCAATATAGAAACCAATGAGTGATACTAACTAAATAATTCTATTTCGATTTTATATATTAGTTAAGATCAAACTAGTATTATTAGAACAATATATGAATGAAAACGTTGAAAAAAAATGCATTTCTTATTGCTGAGACTACTTTATAGTTAAAAGCTGATGTTGAAAGTTTCGAATCAGTTTAGATACTTTCCTCGATGTTATTGTCTTTCCGAAGATTTTTTTTAAATAAAATTTGTAATTTATCAAAATATCTATTAACTTAGATTTCTATTCATACTATGTCAACATCTCCAGTCAAAAAAACCAAATTAGACGTTTTGCCACAATGTCCATATGGTATTTATTTTATTTGTTCCTCTCTATTATTATCAGTTTTTCCTATTTCTAGGTAGCAAATGTTATCGTAAAAATCCAGCTCATTTCAATGAATATTCACATTCCGATAATGTATCTATTTCAGTTACTCCGAAAGTAGTTACAACTGGTTTGTTGATATTAAATATTATGCTTTTTAAATTTAATCAATTTACTTTAGATACTAGTAAAACATTACCAGTATGTCCATTTGGTGCTACATGTTATCGAAAAAATCTATTACATTTTGCGGAATACAGTCATCCATTTGATTTACTCAATCCTGATGTTGATAGTAGTGATGAAGAAGAAACTAATCAATCAAATAAAAAGAATGAAATAATCAATGATGATAAAAAACGAAAAAGAGAAAGTGAAAAAGATGATGATGATGATGGAGATAAAACAGAAGAATATGATTCAGATGATGTAAGTTAATAATGAATAATGAATTATTTTAATGAAATTTTTAATATAGGAAAGTGTATATGATGTAAAATTGGAGAAAACTTTTTCAAAAATGACTGATGATGAAAAACGTTTAATGATTGAACGAGTGAATAGAAATTAAATACGAATGTTTTTTTTTTTTGTTAAACTATTGAAAAAATCAATTTAAGGCATTTGAATTGAAAGAAAAATTACAAGAAAAATTAAAAAAAACTCGTGAAGAAACTGAACAACGAAAAAAAGAAATTGAACAACTTCAAACAAAAGTAAATTAATATTTGTTTTTATTTTTTTTTTAATTTTTATTTCAAATAAAAATCTTCTTTGTTAAGATTAGTGAAGGTATATTATTAATGGAAGGTGAAGAAGAAATTCTTAAAGGTACTAAAGTTAAATATTTCGAACTTTTTCCCGAACGAAATTACAAACAAGGTAAATTTTTGAAAATTTTTGAATTCTATTAAATAATTTTATTCAAAAAAAAAATAGGTTCAGCTGCTGAATTACATTTTCGTCTAGCTGAATCTCAATTTTATCGTTTATTAAGTGGATATGCAACGTAATAACTTAAATAAATAAATAAAACTAAAAAACAAAATGTATTCAATTTTAAAATTTTTATTTACTAGAGCAAAAGTAAAAAAAGTTGAATATGTTTGTAATCCAATTTTAATCAACAAATTCAAGTGCAGATTTTAAAGAAATGTTTTGTTGTTGTTTTTTTCATTTATTTATTCGTATTGTTTTAGTCAAGCACGAGAAGAACTAAAGAAAAAACGTGGTGAAGAATATTCTTATCCTGTATTAGCTTTTCATGGTACAGCTATTACTAATATTCAACCAATATGTGAAAAGGGTTTTAAAGTACCTGGTAAATAAATTCCAAATTCAGAAAACACTTTATCATTATTGCTTCTTGCTAGGTCAAGAAGGATTTCAGCATGCAACTGATACTGGCTTTTATGGACGAGGAGCATATTTTAGTGTAAGTTTTCATATGAAAAAAATTTTAATTTACATATAACGAATCGTACAGAAATAATCGGATATTTTTGTGATCAATGTTTTATTGTATTATGTAATGAGTAATACTTTCGAAAAAAAAGGATCATTCAATGGAGAATTTAATTTTTCACAAAGTTTGCCATTTTTTTTTAACTTGCAGAAGTCAATGGCCTTTGGAATAGAATTTTTTGAATAAATATATTAAAAAAACTTCTATAAAACAATGTAAGAAATTTTATTCTTTATCTATGTGGGGGAGTCTCTTATGTCATCAGTCTTTCTCAATATCAAATAATTAATTACAAATATCTCTAATTATTTCAATATCATTCATTTGTTTATATCCTTTAATGTATTTCGTACTCTACAGGAATATCCTGGCTTTTCGATACCTTACATAAAAGGTGCTACAAAATTGTTATTATGTCAAGTGTTACAAGGAAAAGTAAAGAATGGATAATAAAAAAAAAATATATAAAGGAATATTTTTCTGTCATTTTCTTTTAGGTATATCATTGTACACAACTAATAATGGGCTCTGATCTTAAAGAAGTGAAAAATCATAGTATGTTTTCATTTGTATGTATTTACTATTTCTATGTAGGGTTATGATTCACATTGTTCACCTACTAAACAAGAGCTTATTATTTTTCGTAGCGATTATATTCTTCCTCAATATATTGTTCATTATACATTAGATGCTGGAGAGTTTAAATATGCAGTATATTTTAATAAATTTATTTTTTTCAATCAATTTAATTTATTTAAATAGGCTAGTGGTGCTACAAAAGAAGCTATAAAGAAAAAATTAGCTAAAATCGGAAAATTATATAAAAAAGCAGTAGCAACTAAAGACAAAAAGTAAATATTTATTTTCTCTATGAATAGAATTGTTCTCAGGCTGATCTCGGTCGCTTGACTTGTTTTATAGTTAGTCAAGGGACCGAGGTCAGCTGGGGAAAAATCTATTGTCTTTTTTGAGTAAAATGCTTATTTTTTACAAGAAAATATATTTTTTGTTTCTTCTGAAGAATATTTACTGGTCATAAGTTTGCATTCATTGGTCAAATGGTTGATACACCATTAGCTATCGAAGCACTTGTTAAACGATTCGGTGGATATGTTTGCAGTTAGTTTTATTAATGGAGTTAACAAACAGTTATTTGACAAAATCTTTATTTAATTTTTTAGACTTTTTAAGAATCATCCTCTGAAATTTGAGAGTGTTGGATTACAATAAAAATTTTGTATTGTTTTCAAAATTTCTGTACAACATTTATGAATCGACCTTTTAGAGATGCGAACATTAACCTTGGAAAGAGAAAATTGTTCGAGAACAATACTCATAATTTCTGAATATTTTGAATCTATATTCGAAAACAATACAAAATTTTGATTTAAATTTTTGCAAATATTTTTTTTTCCGAGCTTGAAAAATGAACGAAAATTTTGTCAAATTATTGTTCGATTATCTATTATTTTATATAAAAAGAAATATTGTATTTTGTTTAATATAGAAAATACTGTTCCATTTGGTGGAACATTAATGACAACTGGTTTATTTGTCAATGGATATCCTGCAACTGTTCCATTTGATGCACCTAATGTAATTATTTGTTCAATAGCTGAATATGAAGCAGCAACTTCATCAACTGAATTACAAGCTTATAAAAATATGAATGTAAATTTTGATTTTTATCAAATAATTTGTTTCTTTTTTTTGATTTTCTATTTTCTAGTATTACAAGTTTTATCGTGAAGATTTTTTATATGATTCAATTATTGAAGGCACATTAAAAACATTAGAAGATTATGTACATGATTGATTTATTTTTATATGTTTGTTTTTTGTGAGAATAAATAAATTGTCAAATAAATTTTGAATATATTGTTTATAACACAAAAAAAACAAAGAAAATTGTCATCAAATATAATTGAATTTAATAAAAGTCTATTGTAATATTTAGATTAATATCAAATTAATTTGGAATAGATGTTGAATATTTATTTCTTGTTTTTAAGTTATTTTGAAATAAATGAAAGTTACTGTTTAAGATTTATAACATGATTATTTTGATAATTTTTCTTGAGAAAATTCTTAGACTTAATTAAACAAAAAAAAAAACTTCTTTTTGACAAAATTTGTAATTACAGTAACTTAGACAAACTAAAGATTTGTATGAAGCATTGATAGTATTGACAACTGATAAACATTAAAACGAAAATATCTATTATGAGTTTCGACGGATCAAATTCATTCAAGGAGATTACGTAGATGTAATTGTATTTTACGAAAAATAGTCTTACTGGCAAAGATAAACAATGAATTTGAGACTTCAATGATATTATTCAAATTTGACATTTCATTAAATTTTCTCAATTTTGGTTTTTGTATAATCTATTACCAGTCTTTCATCTCTCAATAGGCTATCTGGCTTCTTCGAAGCTTCATAGAAGGGTTTAAGTGTAGATGAAGACAACGGTCAAACTTACACTCATGCCCAGACCTCTTTCACACACACTCTCGAATCTTTTTTCTCTGAGCAGTCAAAGCATGTGCAGTAGCAGGACGATCAATTATAAACTGTTACCTGTACATGTAGAGAAAAAAAAATGTAATTTACTTCAATCATATCGAGTCGAACAAGCTGAAAAAAATCCAAAAACAACTTGAGAGCAACGTACAGAATGAAAATTTGATGCCAACTTAATCATAACGTACGCTTACTTATGTTGTATAGATTCTTCTCTGAATGAAAGCATACCAACAAAAATAAACATATGGATGTTGACATGCACAATAAAACTATTGTATACAACATAATTCCCAGACAGTTTTGCTTAGCATCAAATGAAAGGTAAGCAAACATACTACAGCAAGCAGCAAAAATAAATGTTACATTGATACTCTCGCACGGTAGAAGTCTCTCGTGTGAGAAAACATTTTTCATAACTCTATTTTTTTTCAGATAAAACTCATGACTTCTAATTGTAATAATTTAGCGGCGATGTCAATTAATATTTCTGTACAAAGCCGAAGTCGGTCATCCACTGTTTCTACTGAACCTGGTCGACAGCCCAATGATGAAAATATTTCAAGTTTTACTGGACAACTACAAACAGTTATGGACAATTTGCATAAGTAAAAATTGTTATACTAGCAAATCTTTAAGAATCTCGATTATTTGTGCGTATCAAGAGTGACATCTGCATTTAAACTCGATAGAATTAAACGAAAAGTAATCGTGTTTAACTATTGTATGCATTAGACCTATTTCTTTGTTCAGGAATTCAAGTGCAAATTAGGAGACTAAATTTAGTGATTTATTTCTTCTGTCTCAATTTTTCAACACTATACGATTAGTAGCAGAATATTAGATTGAGAATAATCGAAACTTTTTTATAGAGCATACTTGCTAGGAAATAACAGCTGTTTAATTTAGGTGGATCTCAGTCGCTTCTGTAAGTGAAGCTTAATACAATTAGTCAAAATCTTAAAGGCATCATCTAGATGCATTATCTGTCTGGAACTATGAACTCGAGCAAATTTTATATGAAAAATCAAATACAAGAATAAAAAACTGAGTTCTTACTTAGAAACATCTTTCAATCGTAATACTAGATGAGTAGTCTGTGGCAACGAATTTCTATCAACTTGTTCTATTCAGTCCTAATTATGGGGTGAAACGTGATTGATCGATGAAAGTTAGTCAAATGATATTTGTGAAATCAGCCAATATAGAACAAAACTTCTTCTCACAATATGCAATATTTCTTTGTACTGGCAAGATACTATAAGAAAATCCAAGATCATACTGATACTTGATATTATAGATAGCTTTGATCAAAATGTTTGATGTATATTCATTTTCTCTGACATATGTCATCGAGCTATTGTTTTGTGATCCGAATACGATTCATGTTTCTTTATGCTCATGATTTTGGGATGATATCGATACAAGAATAAAAAAATTCTGTATAGAATTCCTTTGTTTATGTTATTGTTTATTTTTTGAAAATCAGTAGTATTGATCTCTGAGAATCCATCATATCTTATTGTAGAACTCAGTGCAATGGAAGAAGAACGATTGATGATTATGGTCCTCACGTATGAGATACGAAAAAGTGACGTTCAACGTCTTCACAAACCTAAAAATTTCGAAATTGTCATTCTTTGCGACGATTCTGGAACAATGACAAGTGTTGTTGATGGAACAACACGAACTCTCTGGGATGAATTACGAACATTTGCGCGTTTGGTTACGGAGATCGGTACAATATTCGATCCGAACAGAATTACTATACACTTCCTCAATACAGAAGAGTCTTACAAAATTATCAATTCTAGAGATGTAGAACAATTATTCAATTTTTTCTCCACGTGGTTATACTTCACTAGCTCGTGTCCTACGAAGCATCTTCGAATTACATGCTAATCGTCAACAGAATAGAAAGTTGTTAATATTCATCGCTACTGATGGGATGTCCACTGACGATCATGGAAATTCTAATCTTCTCGAATTCAAACATGTTATTGAACATGAGCGCTAAGCAGACACCACTCATGTAATGTTTCTCATTTGTACGGATGATTCAGAAACTGTCAGCTACTTGAGACAATGGGATGCAGCTATGATGAATGTCGATGTGACAGATGATTATCAAACGCAGAAAAAAACGATTCGAGATATAAACGGCACCAATTATCCATTTTCGTATGTTGACTATGTAGTGAAAATATTAGTTGGTGCTATTGATCTCGATATTGATGCTTCTGACGATTTACCTGAAGAGAATAATATTCTGAGATAATAGTCTCCAGAAACTTTTGTTATTGTCATTCACTGATAGAAATTCATTTTAAAATGTTATAGGGTGTAGGTTTCAACCTTGTTGTCACCCAAAGCTACGTCTACATACATTGTCTGACAGCAATGTCAAGTAGACAACCATCATATGTTAAAATTGAAGTGCAAACATTTCGTTTTTATTGTAGTGATAATAAAAAAAAATTATGTGTAAAAACTATAATGGGTACATAGATGTCATTCTTTCTATTTAATGTCTGATTAAATAATTTCGAAGGCAAACTATGCTCATAACAAATTCCAAATAAATTAAATATCTATATTATCAATTTAAGTAAATGATGATTCAGAATTTTTCTCCTATTTTATTAATATGATACTATTAATAGTAAATATTAATAAATAATTCATGGAAAAAAAATTAGAGCTGTTCTATACAGAACGAGTATTTTGAAATGCATAAATATGATACAATGTTATGATTGTTTTCTTAATGTTGGTCATAGAACATGTGTCTCTTGCAGATTTTTGTTAAATAACATTTTTTAAAATGATTTTTCATGTTTTTGCTTTTATAAATCTATCACTCTTAAAAGATTCACAATAATTACTCAAAAACAATGTTAGAATATCACATAATCTTATCATTGATATATGCATAACATAGCAATTTTTAAAACTATTTTTGAACTTTTATTGAAAGTATGCATAATAAACATAGATACTCAAAATAAGTATAACGATCATAATGTTTTACGATATTTATGTATTCTTAAAATATTTCTTTTTGTTTTACTCATTGAAATTAGACAAGCGAATTGGCAGTGTTGGTTAACGATTGAGTAGATCATAGTGTATAACTCTGCATTGTTTGCTCTAGATTATTATCACATATGAATGTGATTTTTTGTAATCGATAGATATCTGTCTAGTCCGTCCGATGAAGAAAAAGAATTTTCTAATTCATCGTCAATGCTAGATAAACTCTGGATTTTTCAGAAAACCATGTCTATAACGTCCAGATTTTTTAAGGTTCGATGATTCAATAAAAGAAGCAGAGTAAACACTAAAAGAACTCTGCAACTTAAAGCGTATGGATGAAAAAATTCGGTTTTGCAGTTTGGTCTCTAGAAATCTCCTACACAGTAAGATATGTGTGTTGAAATTAGATGTTTTTTTGGAAGGCACAATGTGCATGTAGACGAACATTTGTTTACAAGTCAAAATCGTTCTTGTTCCAATAATTAGTTCGAAAATCGTTATATCACTGAAAAAATCTGATAAAATTAATCTATCATATAGACAACTCAAATACAGTATCTGAATTTGAAAATCGAGCTTTTTATATAAATGGTAAAGAATATTTTTTGATTTGTTCGTTTAACTTCTGAGATATAGAATTCCCAAATGCTGTTTTTTTTTCTTAACAATACTTTTCTGATTCATATCTAATTATTTCTGAAGTAGAAAGTTATATGTTCGTCTGCCAAGCCAATAATGTACACTATGGAAAGAATATACAATTAACAATACATATCATTTATTGATAATTAATAAAGATAATCTGATAAAAAATTTTATTCAAGCAATATATTGTCTTACAAACTTAAATATATTTCAACCAACTATTCTAACAATAACCAATCTTCTTCTTTTTTTCGTTAACGAAAAACAATTCTTTCTTTTTTTGTTAATAACATTTCATTTCTATCAAGCAAAACGAGAAAGAAAGAACACCGCAAGATTATATAATGATACTCTTACGCCATTACTACATTCCACACACACACACATATATATAAAAGAAATGACGGGCACTGATAGCTCATATATTGCACGATGTCCTTAAATATATTAAAGAAGAATAAAGAAGCAAAAATCTGACATTGAAAACAAGCATTAATATATAATTGAAGTAAAGAATATTTGTCTTTTTCACAAAAAACACTGTTATATGTATATATAAATAAAACATAGTTGACTTAAAAAAAAAGAAACGAAACGAAAAGAAAACAGATGAAATATTTGTTTTAATAATACCGGCTAGTTATATATATATATATGCATGATTCAAATGTAATATTATGTATTTTCATGACCCATTAGAATATGTAAATCAGATGGTATTGTATTTAATGTATTAGATGATTGTAACCGATCAAATGAATGACTTTGTAAAACGACCAATCTTTAAAGAAAGAAGAGAATCTATGATAAAGTATTGTCTTTTTTTTATAATAATATTTACCGATCATTACCAATAACTCGAAATGATCGAGTTTGATCATAAATTTCTTGTGTAACTTCATTATCTTTTAAATTTCTACCTTGCATACCATGTTTATGAAATGCAAGTATACTATCTTGTACACAAACTTAAATAATGAAAAATAATAGAAAAAAAAATTGAATATAAATCAATTTATTTTACCTAATGATTGAATTTCATAATCAAAATCAAGTTCAGATAATATTTGTCTATTTGTGTGAGGTCTACCTTGAGAATTTACAATATTTATATGATCTAAATAAATAAAATCATTATCTTTAAATTTATTTAGAAATTATTTTATCTTACTTCCTTGACAAATAAATACTGTATCAGCATCTTTTTCATGTTGCATTACACGAGAAACATTAGAAAGAAGAGAAACTAAAAAAATACAAAACACAAACAAGTTGATATTAGAATAATATTCATGTGCAAGTCTATGGTTAAAATACTACTAAAATATCTTATTCATAACGCCAATAACAAAAAAAATATTGAATAATATACTTTATGTTTAGCTTTATGATTTATACACTTCTTGAATGATGCCAGATTTCCTTGACTTGCATATAGATTTAGAAAAAAGATAACTCGATGATGTTTCGTATTTAATCCGTTCGATAATTCATCTCATAGATATTAAAAGATCTTCTTGGTAGTTGAACATGTTACAAACTGCTTCCATAGTTAAGAAAATCAACTAATCACTAATATACCTCTAGTGATTCAAATCTAATCATTATTTTTCTTATAGTCTGTAGTGTAATCAACAGTTTCTATGAAATATTAATAAAATTGAACATACCATCATCATAATTTTCCACTCTTTCAGTTTCAAAATTAATTGCAGCAAATTTATATGAATTTGGTGAAGATTTACTAAACATATTTAAAGTCAAAAAAAAGGTCTATATAGATATTTAATAAAATCTATTTACCTTTTACTAACACCAACACATACGTAAGCATATTGATTTTCTGGTGAAAAAATTATTTGAAAAATCTTTGGTTCAATAGGTATTGAAATTGAAACAGTCTTCAAAAAGAAAAAAAACAAAACATTCAAATCATGAATTGAAATTGAAATTCTTACTTTTAAATTCATAAATTTTCTTAATGGATCATAATATTGCATAAGAAATATTTCATTAATTGACATTCCAGCAAGATAAATAAATCCATTATATTGATTTCGACTAACACAACATCGAATACATCCACGTGTATTATTAATTTTAATAGATGCTGCTGATTTTCTAAATAGAAAAAAAAAACAAACATAAATGAAATTTTAATAATTTATTTCTCTGATTATTTTTTACTTTGGCATTAATTTTTCAAATTTTCCTGATATGGGAAATTTATTTAATGGTAATGATAATCGAGTTGTACTTTTATTTTGCATTAATAAAAAAAGATCATGTCGATATAAACTATTTGATTTGCCTAATGTTGATAAATAATATTGATTTTTTTTTTATTCTTTTCGAAAGTTTTTTTTTTTTAATAATACCTGAAATTGACCAAAGAATATTATCATTAACAAATAACCAAGTTGTTCGTCGAGGATATAACTAAAACATAAGATCGTTTATAACTATATAAGAAAAAACAAAAGTTAGATAATGAATTTACCAATTCTAAAGTAGCATCATGTAATTCATTAAGATTTAATGAATAAATGCCTTCTTCAGCTGCAATCAGTACAAATTGATCTAGGAAAATAAACAAAAATAAATATCATCTAATTTTTCACAAATGATACATATTTCAATTCAGTTGTTCTTTTTTTTTTTTATATATCGATTATTCTTTTTTTCATGAGAATTTCTTATTTTCAATCATGATTACTATATAAGAAGTATTTGATGAATTCAAATGTATACATTTTACATCCAAGTGATTAAAAGAAAAATTTTGAAAAACTATGATATTATGTTTTGTTTTGTAGTAATTAGAGCAAATAATTCGTATACAAATTGTGCAATGAAGATCGTAATAGAGAATAGTATAGCTGTTTTTTTTTATTGCTTTTACTGATGAGTAAATCCTTCTTCTGATACGTATTTGTTTTTTTCTGCTTAATTACATTCTTCAAATGGGAATAGTATTAGAGCTTGTATCCTTGTTAAGGTTAATCTTTGTTTTTATTCATTTTTTCTCTAATACGCATAAGCAGAGTGTTTTCTAAAAGCTACAAGAAAATTACCGAGGCTAAAGTAACGAGTTAGGTCACCTCGTTACTTTTCCTATATTAGCTAGGGATAGTCTCTGGCTGATTAATCGTCTCGAAGTCCAAACTATGTGCATGGTTAAGATCCAAATGAGATTTGAATATTCTGAAAAGAATTTCGGTTCTTAACTGTCTCTGTATGCAAAGTTTCATAGTAGAAATTCGAAAACCAATCTTTCCGAAGAGGACTATTGACATTCATTTAAAAACTATCGTAAAAGTGTAACATCTCGGCAGAAATAAGCTAAGATCCTAAACTGTTTGTAGGATACTCGTTGGTTATGTTGAATATATATAATATTAAAAAATGATTTTTTGATTTTAATAGTAGAGAAAGTCTTTTATATGAGCAATAATTCTGTACGTCTAAGTGAATTCATAGTTTAGTAGAAACACTAGAGGACTTTATCGAATGATAAATTGCTTTTAAGATTTGAGTCTTTCTTCTTAAGTTATAAGTATTTTAAATAAGTTTTTTTTTAAAGAAACTACCGTACTAATCTTGAAAATTTGCTTTTTTTGTGTATAAAAAAATCCTCAATATTGATATCTAAAGATAGAAAAATATTATAAAAATATGACAATGAACTAATCCCATTGGCAAGTTTTAAATACGAATATCGATACTGAAAGTGATCTGAAAGCATTTTGTTGAAAAAGAACTCACACTTTAATTCAACAAGAAAGATTTATCTCTTAAATGATTTATTACTTAGATATTTTTATTCTTTAAATTGATAAATCAATTTTACATGAAATTAAATATAACATCTATAGAAAAGAGCTCGTCGCATAGATTCTAGAACAGAATCTGATGAACTTTATTGTAGGATATTTAATTAAATAATAAACAATGAATTTCTAGAAAAATCAATTACTTTTCGTTTCAGTATTCATCCAACAGTAACTAGCATGAATTTCTAATGGACATTGATTAAATATTTTCATAAAACCAGCACCCATATGAACTCTCGGTACACTTGGAATACCATTTGATGATATTGAATGATCTTGTTTTATTTGAAGTGTATGATTAGATATTGGTAAAATATTTTCATAATCATTATTTTGTTTTAATGTATTATTATTTGTATCAATATCATGATCATAAATTGTTTCTTCTTGTTCTTTTATATTTGATGTTAATTTTGGTTCTCGTTTTATTGTATTATCTTTAATTAAATCTTCATTTTCTTCAACATCAGCTTCACGCATTACATCAACAATATGTTGAATTTCATTTAAAGCTAAATTTTCAAATGCACTTAATGGTAATTTTTTCATTAAATGCTAAAAAAAAAAAATAATATGTTTATATATAAATTTGAATTTAATATATTTTAATTATTATTTTACATGAATATCTTCTTCAGCTAAACCTAATGATTTTAATCGTTGAATATGTTCAAAATTTTCATTATTCTTATTTTTTGTTGATAATGAAACATTTAATGGAGAATGCTAAAAAACACAAAAAAAAACCAAGAATAAAAAAAGAATTCTTCTGGAAAGTTTTTCTTTTATAATATATTATACTCTATCATTAATTGAATTGTCTACATTGATTTTCGTTGGAATTGAATCATTGAGAATTGAACTACGAATTAATGGTGGTTGACTTAAATTTGCTACAAGAGGTCGAACACCTAAATAATTCAATTTTAGAATATTTTTTAAATACTCAAAATAGAGTATTGGCAACAAAAAAAATATAAGATCAACGTATTATTTTCTCGGATATCAAACATTTAACTGAAACTTAAATAATACTTTGAGTAACCAATGTATGAAATATAAGAGAAAAGTTTCTGAAAAATCAAACGAGTTAGTTTTCAAATTCTATAAAAAAATTCTTTTTTAACAGTATCCTAATCAAGAGTTTAAAACTCTGAATGAACGAAAGAGGAGTCGTCGCATTTCCTATAAACTATTTTTTAAAAAGTTATACGATTCACAAAATCAACGAACTTTTCATCACAACATCATTGCTAAAAAATGCAATTTCATATATAGACGAGACTACTACGCGTTTATTCACATGATCATAGTTACATTCACATAGAATAGCTCGAACTTTTTTCATTCTATTCATAGTTCATTAGAATCTATGTAATACACATACTTCCGACTCTAACAGTATAAATATTGGTAATAAGTTTGTTTTTTTTTTGTTTCTTACTTGATGATGATGCTGATGTCGCATCTCTAGTTGATGTAATCTTATGTGGTGCTTGAAAGATACTCTAGAATAACCCAAAGGAAAAAGTTGATTATGACATTTAATAATTCTATTACTCTATCGTCTTCATCATCATCTCTATCTTCGGATATTATATTATTCATGGCTCCATTATGTAATCTATCCAAGAGATCTTTTGCAATTTGTGCTGTTAAATTTCCTTGTAGAAATGGATGCTAAAAAAAAATAAATTCAAACAAACAAAAAATTATTGATTTCTGAAATTTTTCGATGTTTTGTTTTTCTCTTTTACTTCAAGTAATCGTTCAGCTGATGGTCTTTTCTTTGGATTTTTGATTAAAGCATATTTAATAAAATTTTGAAATGTTATTGACCATTTTGTTCTATCTTTTAATGTTGGTGGTTTAAAACCTGATTTAGACATTAAAAAAAGTGCACGCATAGGATGTAAATCAAACATTGGTGGTTGTAATTCAGCAAATTCAATTGCTGTAATACCAACAGCCCATATATCACATAAATGATTATAACCACCTTTACGTTCAACAGCGGCAACTTCTGGTGCCATCCTAAATTTTAAAATTGAATTAAGAAAAGAAATAAAAAAACAACGAATAGTTTTTGTTTGTTCATACCAATAAGGTGTACCAATAAATGATTTTCTTTTACACATAGTCGCAGTTATACTTGCTGCGACACCAAAATCCGCTGAATCAAATCAAAAAAAGAAAAGAAAATTTCAATGACAAATACATTGAAAAATATTTACCTAGTTTTACATATCCATCATCAGTGAGTAAAATATTAGCACCCTATTTAAAGAAAAATGAATCATTTGTTTTTATTTTTGAGCTTTTTAGAAAATTTTACTTTAATATCACGATGCATTTTACCAGTTTTATGAAGATAATCTAATCCTTTTAAAGTTTCTTTGAGTATATAAGCTATTTGTAATTCATTAAGTGGTCCATAAACTAATTAAAAACAAACAAACAAACAAACAAATTATCAAGAATTTTATCTTGAAAATTAAAGAATATTTTAACTAACTATGATAAATATCTTGCATTGATCCACCAGAACATAATTCCATAGCGATCCATAATTTATCTCGTCTAATAAATAAATAAATAAATAAAAATTGATTAACTAATTAAATTAATTTTTTTTTATCTTATTTTTCTTCTTACTTTAAATAACTACCAAAATAAGCTATAATATTTGAATGACTACATTGTATCATCATAAGAATTTCTTGTTGTATTATATTAATATCATCACCTGCTTCAAGTTTAATAACTTTCAATGCACGCATTGATGCTGTTGGTATATGTCGTGCCTAATATCAAACAAAAACATAAATTTTAATATAAAAATATATTTTTCGTAGACAAAAAAAAAAAAAGAAGAAAACAAACTTTATAAACATCCCCATATGTTCCCGAACCAATACGTTGTATAAGTTCATATTCATCATGAGGACTTGATGATGAAAAAAAATCATATGATGGTTTACGACTACTATTCATAATTATAAATGTAGAACTTAAGAGAATACTCTATGATAATAGGTAACCATGACATATAAAAGAAAACGATAAGAATTCGGGTCTATTTAAATATAAACCATTTTTGGATAGTCAATGATGATGATGATATGAAGAGGATTTCATTTGTTAATGACTCATCATATCTAATAATTCCATTAGATAATATGAAATGCCTTCATTTCTTAATATTGAAAATAAATAGATTATTAAAAAAAAAATAGAAGTGAATATATTAAAATATTTGAAACGAAATATATTTTTTTAATCACAGATGGAGAATTAACTGATAATCAGTGACCTCTATGAAATGAATATCATAATAGCAAGAATTAACTAAAGCTTTTTTTGTATTTCATAATACAATAGTGCAAAATCTTCCTTGATCAATTAAACCTCTTCCTATCATAGAAGATTCCGGTTGATTTCTTAATATCTCGGAAAATTGGAACTATGATTAGTATATTTATATGACAAAAAAAAAAGCTTGTTACCAAAATTCCTCCTGGGGATTGAGATATGGAACTCAGTGTCTTCTTTAACTTCATTATACTAATAAAAAAAAATATGTAATATAAAAAATCTCTAAATGATGATATTTTTATTTGTACTTTTCGAACACATAAATTGTGTATTCTTCTTTTTCTGACTGATGTTCTTTTTCCTGTTTATGTTGTTGTTATTCGTATAATATTTATTTACTTGTCATAATTTATTATTATTAGTCTAATTATTGACTTAATGGTTAAATTTGCCTATTGTATATAGTCGTTATATCTACAATAGGTCTTAACGATTTATTATGTATCTCGATGAGCTGAGAAACACAAATATTAATTATTTCCGAAAGTTAGAAGTTAATCAATTTATACTTTTTGTCTTAGTCATATGACATTTGTAAGAAATCAAAACATCATCCTTGATTTCCTTCATGTAATCATTTGTTTATGGAAAAATCAAAAAATGATGTTGTTTAGAATATTGAAAAACATATTTCAACTATTTTAATTTCATTTTGAGTTGAAAAATCTTAAAAGTGTTTTCAACCAGTCTTTTGAATCATTGACTTGTCTTCCAACTTTGGTGAATCCAGAACATTCCTATAAAACTCAAAAAAACTTTAGTTTAAGTAAACACAATGAAAATAAATGAGTTATAATAGAAGAATCAGAATGTTATTAAAAATTAAAAAAATTTCTTATATTACCAAACGTTCGATGTCAGTTTTTACATTTTCAATTTCATGACTTAGTATTGTCAGATGACGTCTTTATGCTTAATAACTTGCAAACTTTTGTACTGAATTATTGATCTCAATAATAGGTACTTATAGACAGCTAACGATCTAAATGTCATAAAAATGGTGACAAATATTGTTGGCTAATGACATTGATTCTGTTTCTAACTATGATTTCGATTTAATATTCTACTAATAATGACAAAGAAAAAGACTTTCCATGAATTAAATAGTTCATTGCAAAATAAACTACTTAAGAAAAAAACAATAACATATCTTGTTTATAACTTTGATAATAACTAAAAAACAAAAATCAACTTTTTTTCTTCGACACTTCAATATCATATTCTTTTTTTGTTTTTTATCTTAATCTTTAATTGTACTCAAGTTATTTGTACATCTTTCATATCAACAAATATATATATGCTTATTTTTACAGATGTTTCATTGATGTAATCATTAGTTTCTTGTCGTTTCTACTAGAAGAAAATGCTATACCACCTGGTGATTATTCTTGAATGCATTCATTTATTTGATCTTTGTTTCTAAGTTTGCTCTCTTTCTTTCTTTTTTTTTTCTTGTCTAGCAAAAGACATTGGAATTGATATGCTCATTGAATAACTATATATATATATATAAATACACGTGTCTATGTATATGTAGTTTGCGCGAAAAAGAAGGAGACATATAAAGAATTGACAGTCTTCGATTATGTATTCATTTCATTAGAGAATAACAACATTAATATCTAATCATACAGTAAGTTGGTTTCCAGCTTTATCTATATTGAGAAATAACGAGAATGGATATATCATAATGTAATATACAACTAACTGATTAACTAAGATTTTCTTTTTTTTTGCTTGCATCATCTAAATGTTCAGTTAAAAGTTTGTTTTCCTTGCCTAATGATTATAAGTTATCAAAAATTTGAATTGGCGCCTTGTAATCTTTTTCTTTCTCATACTAACAAAAAGAAAAAAAGGGTCTTATTGAGTATGTTATTATATATATATATATTTAATATAATGAGATTATTATATTTTATAGATTCTATTCAAACTATTTGAACATCGATTAAAAAATCAACATTGTTAAAACAAGTAATCAAGTATGTTTATAATTTTTATTCGATATGAGAAAAGAAAATGTGTGACACCAGATGGTTTCAATTTTTTAATGTATATTTAATTTCTTACCATATATATATATATGTATGAGTTTTCTTTCTTTTACTTTTTTTTTTGTTGTTCTTTAAATGGATATTGATCATAGTGGGTGTATAGGATGCTTTTCAAATAGCTATTTAACATGTTTCATCGTTTATTAATTATTGATGAAATGAAATGATTCGTTGTTCTTGCTTTTCTTTTTCTCTTGTAGATCATTTTCTATTTTTCTTGGATATATATTAATGGTCATGTTGTTACTTGCTTGACAATGTCATGTTCTTTTCCATCAATTGATCTCTCCATCATCTAAATTGTTATTATGATTACTATGTTTCTGTCATCGTTATTGCTCTATATCTCTCTTTTTCTATCTTATTTATCGCACATTATCGATACAACGTGTCCTGTACAAAAGCAAGAACACTATCGGCGACGACAGTCATATTAGTATAAAACAGAGAAAGAGAGAAGTAGTGCCGCTGAAGGACGTGTGATCAATGCGTTTATCGAGAAATCAGTCTTGTTGTACTGCTTTTTCTTCTTGTCATCATCGTTCTTTTCTATCATTTATTTGTTATTACGTGTTACAAGTATTATCTTTGGGTTAGCTTAAGAAATGAGGATGCTTCAGGTAATTAAATTTATTATTTTATTTTCTTATTCAATTTATATAGTACATTCAATTTGAGCAGGAAATATAAAAAAAAACCATACCATTTTGATTTAATTATAGAACGACGTGTCAAATAATAAAAAAACTATTTCTCATAATGTATACATTGTAGACATTTGGATTTTCTTATATGTTTCACTCAAATGGAAGAAAGATTATTATCAGTGACATAAACAATAAGACATAAAAAAGAAAGAGAGAGAGAGAGAGAGAGAGAGAGAGAGAAAATTGAGATGGTCAAAATAAATTTGTATGTTGCTGAAAGACAAACAGCTGAAGTCAATGGGCTGAACGTTAGTACTAAATAGAAAGTCCGACGGACAAATGCTAATCACTATGTGTATGTGTGCGTGTGTTCAGTTCTTTTCTTTTTCCTTTTTTCTGAGAAAAAGAATAACGATAACGTCACAAATGTAAAGCAAAAAATAAACGAAATATCTGTTTCCTGTCGTCTTCTCTCGGTCGAGCATTGATCAACAAACTTGTCGTCCGATGAACTGATTTGCTTCCTCTTCTTATTCTGGATGAGCAAGTGTCTAATAGGATTTATGCAAATCAACTACTACTCCTACTTCATCATGTTCTTTTTTCCTCTAACTGAGAAAAAAAGAGAAGAAAGGGAAAATACATATTACCCATAGTAGTCATCAATGAAAAATCGATTGTAATCAATAATCTCTTTTTTTTTTCTTTTTCTCAACGATTTCATTGATCAAGTTTTTTTTAGTTTTTTAAATTATCGAATATATATATACATACACATAAGAAAAGAGAATCGATGTAATGAGAATTAAAGAAAAAAAAGAGACAAGGGCGTCAGCTCGGCATGGCATCAGCCGGTTCCGGTCGTCGACTTTTTTTTCTATTCTTATTGTTCTCGTACAGTCAACACGATGATCGGTTCCTGGTATGTTTACAAGGTATAAAAAACTTCACACAAACGTTTTTATTTTATTAATTATTTATTAATATGTAATAAATTATTTCTATAAATATATATATATGTGTGAAATAGGTCTTGACTCCAAATCCTTCTGTTCCTCTATCATCCCAACAAGCAGCAACAACAACAATTGCAACATCTATTGAAAATCAACAATTAATAGAAGATCAAAACGAAGACGACGACGAATATTATAGTGAAATGGCTGCATTCAATCGACAACAACAAGGAAATTGTAGTGAAACACAATCGATTGGCGGTGGAAATTTTACTGATGATGAATCAAATTATTCGGATAAAATACGTACGAATTTAATTATTAATTATTTACCACAAACAATGACACAAGATGAAATCAAAGATTTATTCGGTTCAATTGGGGCTATTGAATCATGTAAACTTGTACGAGATAAAACAACAGGTACAAAAAGAATTTATCGTTAAAAAATTCTTTTGATAGTAAAAAAACAATGAAATGTAAAAAGTTAAACATCCATATTAATGTAGATATATTTTACAATAATAAAAATCAATATTTTATTCTTATCAGAAATCGACCCGAGTTTTAATTCTTTTGGGAAATTTAAATCAACTTACAAGCATCTTTGTTCAAAATTATTGATTACTAGTATAAAGATTTGAATTATAAAGAATTAATTCATTTCCGATTGAAATTTTGAATATGAACTACTAATAGAGGAAATCCCCCGACTGATTAATTGCTTTTCACTCTGACCTACGTGTAGACCCAAATGAGCTATGAATATCCCAAAGAGAATTTGAATCTTTAGCTCATAACTACCACGACACTACATTTTACACAGATGTAGAGTTTTAAATGAATGTTGTAGTTCTCCTCAAAAGCATTATTATTTCAGGATAGGATCAAATTAGAAGATTTCATAACATATTTTTCTATTTAAGGTTTATTTCTGTGTAGAGTTTCAAGTCGAAAGC